ACCAGGGTCCTCACTCCACTCCATGCCCAGTCTCAGCCAGCCTGGATCACAGGCATGTACACACATGTGCTCCCAGAGGTGTCCCTGTGGGAACCCAGGACCTTCCCCTGTGGGTCCTGTTGTATTATTACTGCACGACCATCTGGTCCCTGAGATTTGATTTTGATGAGAGATAGGATTAGGACAACATGGGGGGAGAACAGCAAGGTAAGGCTTGTCTTGTAATTTAATTTATACTTTTGCACTCTCTTGTGGAAAAAGGAGACACAAGATCCCTAACCTGGAGATGATGGCATCTTCCCCACCTTCAACATTCTCACACCCTCATCTCCGCCGACTCCAAACCAGAGAGGCCAACCCTCAGGTGGGCAGCTAGGCCTAGACGGGGAATCCAGCTATGGTTCCCTTTACAGAGCCCTTCCCTGTAACTGGTCCTCCATCTGCACCACACACGTTACAGTCGCCATGGAAGACTATAAAAACGTAGTGGGTGCTCAGGCCACACCATCCACATTGTGAAAAGCCTCCCCAGTACAGCAGGGTTGAGCACCACCATTAGCTCAATCCACCAAGACCTCTAGGAACACACTTTTGTCCTCTCCCCTGAAGAAACAGACTAGAGCCTAAGACCAGAGCACTACAGGTTTCCTACTTAGAAAGGACAATACCCAACACCCTTGGGAAGGAAAGCAGATTGGTTCAGTCCCCAGAGCCTGACATCCCACCACTGCTGGCCAGGGACATAGAGGCAGAGACTGAGAGAGGACCCGAGTGAGTTCCACTCTCTGCAGTGACAACAGCAGGGCTGAGAACAGCAGGGCGAGAACAGCAGGGCCGGGCTGGGGGTTGCTGAGTGATGGGGAAGGGAAGGCAGGGAGTCACTGGAGGACTGCGCACAGGAAGGAAAGCTGTTGAGGTTGGCGATGCTCTAAGGAAGGGATCACACAGTAGAGAAAGCTCCACTGCAGATACTGAGGCAGGGAAAAGAGCTTTCCTCAAGGTGTATGCAAGTAACAGACTGGAGTGCAGGAAGGAAGAAAAGAATGGAGGACCACGGGCTGCAGCTGCCCTGCTCCAACCCTCACCATCCAGTCCTGAGATTCCCCAGAGCCTGAGCTGCTATTGTCTGTAGGTCTATTGTTCTGAATTTCCCACTGGGAAACCTGAGGACTAAAGTGGGAATGGGAGGCAGGGAACAGTGGCCTTCATGCCTTTCCAGTTTTATACACCAGTTTGCTTATCAGGCATGGACCTAAAAAATTGGGGGAGAAGAGTCTGGCATCCCTCTCAAACCAGTTAGGTACTCATGGGAGCTTCTTTTGACCAAGACAAGGTTTACTCTGAAGCGCTCTGTTAAAAAGTGACGATCAGGAATCCTTCATCAGAGTTCAGCCTATCTAGGGTGACTGGATACTGAGCATGTGCCCAGAAGGCTCTGGAGGAATCTGGTTCCTCATGACCATGACTGCATGCTGGGGGAAGCGAGGAGATAGACACATATCACTCATTCGATACTGTAATAATAATATCATATGGTACCCATGAAACCATGCATCCCACGCGGTACTTCCAGTGCAACGGTGGACAGCAAGGAAGGCCGGATTGTGGTT